AACCACTCCACGGAGCTTCAGACCAGACCATGCACCCAGCTGCCCTCCAGGCCATCCCCTGTAGATGTCCCACAGGCTCCCAAACTCCATGTGTGCATAAATGCAGCCTCGCCCCACACTTGCTCCTGCTTGTTCCCTGGCACCTGCCATTCTCAGTGCCAGCATATGGTGCCTTTGTGAGAATCAAAAAAAGATGCCCCTCCCTGCAGGTGGACACAGGCCCAAACCAGGTTGCAGGGCCTGGTTAGTGGAGGCACAGTCTGCACCACCCAGTGCAGGGTGCCTTGCTCCACCATCTTCCACCTTGCTCAGGACAATACTGGGACTCATCCTTGACCTCTCCCTCTCTCTTTTTCTCATCAAGTTGTCTATGCTGCTTCTCCAGGAGGCCAGGGTCTCCAGGGAACATGGTCCCCAAAACATTGTCATCCCTTATCCTCTGGAATAATGCCCCAGGGCAGAAGCCACTGGACTCCCAGACCATTTCTGAGAGAAAAAGAGGTGTGTCATCAGGACCAGGATGACTAAGCCCCCAAGAGCCCGGCCCCCACCAATAGTGCATGGAACCTGAGGTCTTCACAGACTTGGCCTTTGGGGCTACAGGAGGGAGCACTGGAGGCCTGGCTGCCCTTGAAGCCCACAAGGAGATCGAGAAAGGTGCTGGCACAATCTGCAGGGGTCCCTAGGGATGTGCCATGGGGCAGCCTCTGGTCCCAGCGCTTTAGGGAGAAGATCCCCGCCTGCAGCTCAGGTTCAAAGGCTCTGCTGAATCCACCCTTCCCACAGAGTGCAGCCACCAGATGGCAGCCAGGCCACAGGCAGACAGAGGGAGAGCAGTCCTCCCCCGACACTGAAGGCCAGATGGAGCAGCTTGCTCTGAAGGGCTTGTCACTGACCCCGGAAACTTCAACCAGAGAGAGAGTGAGTGAGTGCATGTGTGCGTGAGCCCAGGAGGCTGTCTGCACCTGTGAGGGGCTGCGGGGGATGGACTGACATACAGCTGGACAGAAGACTGGGGTTTAGTCCCTTCCTTTGAGTCTCTTCACCACCCCTAGGGCTTCCCTGCCTCTGAGTCCAGCCCTGTCCTGGGTGCTGGTGATGCAGAAAGGGAAGCGACCCTGTTCCCGGCCTTGAGGAGCTCCCAGGCCTGGGCTGGAGCTGGACACAGACAAGTAAACAGACCACACGGTGGGGTGGATGCAGAGACCGCAGGAGTAGCCCGGAGGAAGCCCCTAACCCAGCGGAGGTGGAGGAGCTTCCCAGAAGAAGTGACATCTAAGCTGCACTTAGAGGGCCTTCTGGCACGCCTCAGGTGCAATAACAACACCTACTCTATCTCTTTCCTCCCGCAGCTCTGCAGGAAGGCGTGACAGAACCAGCTGTACTGCCATGTGAGTGGAGCATCTGAATGGTGCCATGAGCAGGGAGAACAGAGCTGGCATGTGAAGCAGAGTCTGCACAACTCTCAAGCTCAAACTCTTGGCTACTGTGTACGTCCAGGGACTGAAAACTTGGAGGAGAGCTGAGCTAGGGGTCCAGGCCTGGGGCCAGATCTGGAGGGGAGGCAGGTGCCTCCCACCCTGGTCCCAGAGCAAGTTCTGAGGGCTCCAGCCTCTGACTTACCTGTGAGGTTGGTCCAAGGGGACAGGGCAGAGTGTGTGTGACTTGAATCACCCCCCCAAGTGACACCCTACACCCCCCACACCCACCTCTACCCTGAGCTAGGAGAGGAAACTCTGCCCAGCAGGAGTCCTGATCTGATGGCTCCCTGAAGCACAATAAGCAAGCGGTATATCTGCTCATGGTACTCTGAGCACGAGGGAAGTGATCCTGAAAATCATCCCGACCACCTGGCACTCTGTGCTGTATCAGCTGACACTCGAGACAACTCCATAGCGTTTTTTCGAAACCAACTCCAGGCTGGAAGTGCCTCTTCAAGTCTAACTGAAGTAAGTAGTGCTGCAATCTGCCTTCAACTCTGCAGTTCCTGAGCGGAGCCTTTAGCGCCTGAGTTTGGACGTGACCTACGTGGAACCCTGTGAAATTCACACGTTGTAGGTAGGGGAGGAAAGGGCGCTGTTCCGGGAAGCAGGAGGAGCAAGAATGTCCTGTAGCAGTCGGACAAACTCCGGTCCCACAGCCAGGGCCTGGCAACCTGAGCCTTCCGCCCGGAGAGCAGGTGGAGGGTTCAGGGGAGGCGATGCCGCACCGGGAAGTGACGCTCCAACGACGGCACCGGACTCTCCCGGCCGAGGGGCGGCCTCAGGCCAGCTTGGGCGGGTGGGGGCGGAGGGGAAGGTACAGCAGGGAGAACCGGCTGGAAATAGAGAAAGGATGCTGGTGGGGAGAGGGGACGGGGAGCCCTGGGCTCAGGTGGAGGGAGAAGGCGGAGACCGGAAGAGACAAGGAGATGGAGATAAAGACGGAGGCCGAGAGACGCGCTCGGAAGAGACAGAAACAGAAACGAGATCATCAAGACTGCGAGAGCCGAGGAGCACACCGGGACTGGGTGGGGCTGCCCTGCAGGGGAGGAGCGGGTGGGGAGGAGCAGGAAGGCGTGAAGGCGCGCCGGCCACTGGGGGTTCCTGCGGGCACAGCTCGCCGCCCCGCCGGCCGGGTCCCTCCCCCTTGTCTGTCATTCCAGGAGCTCAGAATCCCCTCCCCCCGGCCCCCCCCCAGCCCAGCGGCTGCCCGTCCCCAGGCCCCCGGGCGCCGCCCCCTCGGGGCGGGCTGTGCAGCCCCGATAGACGGTGGGGGGCTCAGCTGGTGCGTTATCAGCCTCCTCCAGGAGCGAGCCCGAGCCACTCAGCGGCTGCCAGTCTGAGATTAGGCCTCAGGAGGGTCATTCAGCGCCGCCCTGGCCCGGGCCCAGCCTCCTCTCCCTCCCTCCTCTGGCTCGGCTGGCAGGTGGGAAGGAACGATAAGGACTGGGGGCTCGGGCGGTTCTGGGGCCGGCAGCTCCGTGCCCCCTACCCCCTGTCAGGGCAGGAACATGGGATGGGGGGAAGGTCAGTGCCAGCCCGGCACCTGCAAGGACCCCCAGAGTTCCCACCATCCTGGTCCTGCCACCATGAGGAGGTGGCTGAAGAGGGTCCCGGAGAGGCCCAGGCAGGGTGCTGGGGGTCCTGCCCCAGGGACCGGGGCAGGACAGCAGCTGCCACAGGACCCTGCTGGGAAAACCTCACAGGTGTGAGGGGCTGGGCTTCGCTTGCTGCCAGGAGACAGAGGGATGTGGCTCTGCCTTCAGGCCCTGGCTGGCCGGTTGGGGGGCCAGACTTGAACCCACCCCCACTCCTCTGGGATAACTGGGAGCAGCAGTGGAACAGAATATGGCTTAATGCAGGGGAGAATCATATCCAGGCAGCCAAAAGGTCCAGACCAGGAGGCTGGAAACGAAGAAGGGGGTGTTTGTGCCTTAGCAAAGACCTTCTAGGAACCTCCATCTCTCCTTCAGTAAGTGAGAGGCTGGGCTGGCTGGTCCCCTGGCTCTGCCATCTGTCTAATCAGGAAGACTTCCTAGAGAAAGAGAAACCTTGGCAAGGCCAAGAAAAAGGAATATGCAGAGTTTAAACTGGCAGAGACAGGTGAGAAGGCATCCAGCCAGCCTAGGCTGGGAATCACACAAGCTACAACCACAATTCACTGAGCTGAAGCCCAGAGAGGGGAGGAGACTTGCCCCAAGTCATATAGCAGGGCAGGGGTAGGCCTGGGGCAAAAATGCTGTCATCCCTCTGCTCACGGATCCTCCCTTGGGGGCAGACTGCAAACTAGACCCCAGGGAGGTGAGAAGGGATAATGCAGATTTCAGATGGGTCTCCCCCAGGGGTATTTGGGTGAAGCCTTGGAACAGCAAAGGAATGGACGGAATGGCTAAGTAAGGGGGCTGTGACAGGCAGGGCAGGAGGCAGAGGGAGATCTCTGGGACAAGGTGGACTGCCCTGCCCTCTAGCCCCACTCCTCTGGATCTGGGGGTGCTCCTGCGTGAGTCTGTCTCAGGTTGTCACCCCAGACATACAGAGGCTGTTCCCGTAAAAGCTACAGTCACAGAGGTGAGGGCCTCCAGGGTCAACCAGCCCAACAGAGTCATGCCTCCTGTCTCCTCTCCTTCCACTTCTCTCCCACTAGGACCCGGTTCCCTGTCCCCAACCCCACCCAGGCTTGGGGAGGTGGTGGCATTGTGAGGACATGTCTACTCCAGCTCTGTGGTGAGACTGGCCAGATCCTCCACAGAGGGGGAGCTGAGCTCAGAGAGGACAGTGGCTCTCCCAAAGTCACACAGCAAGTCAGTGGGGAGCCCCGGACTCAAATCCAGGCATCCTGAGTCCTGGCCCAAGACTCTTTCCCGGGCTTCCTAGACCCAAAGCCCAACCCAGAGAGGCTATGAGGAGGGGATAGGGCTGGGTGGATGAGGATGAGTGAACACACTGCAATGCCAGGCAGTGTGGAGCCAGGGGGCTGAGGGTGGGGCTGGGGGAGGGGGTGTTGGCACTACACAAAGAAGAGCCTGGAATTGCCCAGAATCGCAGCTGTGACGAGCAGGTCAGCAGAGGGGGGCGTGCAGGAGGGTTTCTGCCTGGAACAAGGGTAGAGCTGGTGAGCTCCCTGGGCCCAGGGGGCCTCCCCAGGGCTTTCTGGGTAATCCTCCAGAGCCACCATGACGGTGCCTTTGGCAGGTGATTGTCATGATTCGGAAGCAACATGGGACCTGGCTGGAAGCCTGAGGGGCTGTTTCTGAGCCTGGGACCTGAGCCTCAGAAGTACAAAACATCTTTATTTCTCAGAACTGAGGGCCGTTTCCACGGAGGAGGGGAGGAGACATGAGGCAGGATGGGAGGTGCTGAGCTGACTGTCTTCTTCAGAAGGGTCTTCTGAATTGAATTGGGTGGTGGACGCCCAGGAGACCCCCAGGTCACAGTCAGTCCCAACCTGGACACAGTCTGAGCTCCAACCTTGGCTGGCAGCAATTCAAGTGAGGTGGGGCAGGGTGAGGTGGGGAGTCAGCCCCTCACTGTAGATTCCCACACAGAGAAGGAAAGGGTCCAGGGGGTGAGCTGAGCATCCATCACAGGCCCCTGGGATCAGGGCTGGGGCCTCAGGCCAGCAGAGGTCACATGGGGGTGCTCCGGACCCTGCCCTCCTCCTCAGGAATGTTCTCGTAGGCATTCTCGTGCTCACTGGACCTGAAAGAGGATGACAGGGGTCATTGCACCTTCCATCCCACCGCCTTCTCCCTGTCCCAGCCTGTGCTTCTGAGGGCAGCATCTTCCAGAGTAAATGTTTGAGCCCCAGAAGGGGGTTCCATGACCATATCTGGTCTTGCGCTTCTGAGACTGGGGGCCTCTCAGCACCACCTCCATGAACCCTATCTCCCTCCTCCCTGAGCCCCTCCCCCACTGGGCCCCACTGAGCAACCCCCACATTGAGCCCATCTCCCCACTGAGCTGCCTCCCCACAGATCCTTCTCCCCACATTGAGGCCCCCACTCCTCCCTTTAGAGTCCCCTTCCCCCGTTGAGCCCCTTCTCCCCACTGCATCCCTCCCTGTGAGTCCGAGTCCGCCCAGTGAGCACCCCCCACCCAAGTCCCCATCCTTTACTCTTCCCAGACTGAGGCTTCATTTCCCCATGTGTCCCTGCAGTCCTCACAAAGCCCCATCACTCACCAGCCCTCCCTCCCTGAACCCCTCTCCTCACTGCGCCCTGTCCCACGTGAGTCCTCCTCCTTCCCGGCCCTCTCCCTGCTCAGAAAAAGCACCGCGTCCTGAGGTCCCCGGGGGCCCCTGGAGCACAGGGCAGTCAGCCCTGTACCGGCACCTCACCTGAAGCTGGCCACCATCGAGGAGTACCTTCCGTCCGTTCCTATCATGATCCCCTCTGCCTTGTTTCCAGTGGTCATGACCATGTTCATGGGCTCCCTGGGGACAGGGATCATCAGTAGGGCTCCCTGGGCCCCCACCCCTTTGTTCCCCCACCTCCCTCTGGTCCAGTCAGGCCCTGTTCTGGGCTCTGGTTCTCACAAGTCCAAGGGCAGGGGCTGTCCCTTCACAGAAGCCCCCTCTCTCCTGCAGGGCCCCTGTCAGCGGCCTCACACCCTTGTCCCTGCTCCATGGTGGGGCCTCAGGTCCCAGCCTGAGATTTGCAAAAGATTTATCCGAGGCCTCGCAGCAGCCGCCTCCCAGCCTCCGTCTGCTGTTTCCTCTGGCCTCAGCTCAGCCCCCAGAGCAGACCCAGCAGGAATCAGTGTCTGCCCCAGATTTCCACAGGGCTTCCCTCGGGCAGGAGGAGCACACGTGATCAGCGGCCACTGAAGGCAGAGCCAGGCCAGTGGAGGAAGAAACCATTTCCAACAAAAGGCTCCTTGCCTCTGACTCAAGTTTAAACCCGCTGCAGGGTCGCCTCTGCCCCCATCTCCCCTGCAACTGCTCTCACAAGGGTCACAGGGACCCTTACCGCTGCCTGTCTTTCCTCGGACCTCCCACAGGCACCTCAGACTTAATATGTCCCAAGTTAAACTCAGCAGTCGCGCCACCTGCCTCTTGTGTTCTATGTCCCAGTGAGTGGTCCCGTCAGAGCCTGGACATTATCCCTGTCCTTCCTCCCTCCTGCTTGCTCTGTCCCTGTCACCAACTCCTGGGGGTCCACCTCCAAGACAGCTCTTAGACTGTCCCCTCTCTCCATCCCCTCTTCTGCCTCCACAGTCCAGACTGTCCTGACCTCGTGCTCAGCCCCCTGTTGCTCTCCTCACCTAGGCCGGCCCCTCCCCCACCCCTCCGCCAGCGGGCAGCCAGAGTGATGCTGCTCAGGCTGCATCCCCTCCAGAGCCTGGCTTACAGACTTGCACCGGACTCCTGCTGCACTAAAGATAAAGCCCAAAGTTCGGGGCATGGGTATACAAGGGTCTGCTTGACCCGGGCCCTGCCTACCTCTCCAGCCTCTCCATCACTCTCTCCACCCGTGAGCTGCTTGTGTTCCCTCAGTGGGCTGTGCAGGGCTGCTGCTACACAGGCACCAGGCCACCTGTGTGAGAGCTGGGGGCAGACACAGCCTTGCCCCAGCGTCAGCAAGTGCCCAGTGGCCAGGATTTCAGCCCATCCCCCTCTGTACCCGCTGCCCTGCCCCTAACTCAGGACCCCAGGTGCACTCTTCCCTGGATTGCAAGATTGCCATGCTCTTCCCACCACACTCTACCCTGAGACTGGCTCCTCCTCACTCTCCAGGCATCAGGATAAACGTGCAGTCAACCAGCGGCCGTCTCTGACGCCCCTGCCGGCCAGGTCAGGCCTGCCCTGCGCTCTGCAATCTGTCAGCGTCAGTGCTTGCACCTCTCATTGCTCCCTCCGTGCCTGCCTTCCCTTCCGGTCTGGGAGCCTGTGAGTGCAGGAGTTGTCTGTCCCATTGCTCCTCTGTACCCCCGCATGGGCACAGCAGTGGACCCTGAAGAAGGACGGAACCTTCCTTTCCAGAGGTTTTCACAGGCCTCATCACAGGCCGGGCCACCCCAACCATACAGATGGAAATATTGAGATTCCAAGAAGAGAAGACATTTCCCCAAATCCCACGAGCCTGAGCCCTCGTCCCCGAGACCCCAGACCTCAGCATCCCTTCCACGCAGTGAGAGGACTGGACTCAGGGTTTCGGAGGACCTTCTCCCGCTGCTAGAGCAGCAGCATGGTCCTGGGGCACACCCCACTTGCACCGGCCCAGCCCCCAGGGCCCCTGGACAGCACTCACGGCTCTTCCTGGCACCAGAAGTGGTTGACAGCAAAGGCGATTGCAACAAGGACCAGGAACACGGCCACGGCGATCAGGCCCTGCATCCAGGGCTGCAGGTTCCCCAGGCCTGGAAAGAGGGGGTGGGGCTGCTACAGCAGGTGAGGCCACAGTGGGGGCAGCAAGTGCAGAACAGGCGAGGGAGGGGCCCACACCCCAAGGGCTGGGGCCTGTGTTAGAGGCCACCAGCCAGCTGCCAGGACCAGGGGAGACATTCTGGGGTGGCAGGGGTGGGAACAAGGACCCATCTGACCCCCCTACTGAGCTTAAGAAACGGATGGCGGTTTGGAGGAAGGAAAACAGGAGTTTGAAGAAGGAATGAGGAGCCAAGGAGGAAACAGGCCTCAGAGTGCTGTGTCTGAGATCCAGGCAGCCCAGAGTCTCCCCACCCCCACCGGGGGTCACATGCAGGGCACCCCAGGGAGTTCCTGGGCCCTAGGGACCAAAGGGCAGCCCCCTGGACAGCCAGCCTAGGCCCTGTCCATTGGAGATGGGTCCCCTCCTCTCTGGCTCCCAGCGGCTGGCACAGCCCAGAGCTAATAGGACTGGGCTGGCATCTGGAAGATCCTGTTCTGTAACCAGAGGTTTCTCTGGTGCTGGGTGGGGCATAGGAGTGCAGGGCAGGCGGGGCTGCTCAGTCAGGGGTGCCCAGAGAGAGAGAGGGGACAGAACGTCTTTGGGAGGGTAAGACAGAGGGGCGAGCTCTCCTCTGGGTCTCAGGGGCCAGAAGGAAGCTTCAAAACCTCACCCTCTTTTGGCTCTTCTGGCTGGGTGCCCAGGGGACTAGGCCAGAGCCTAGGTCGAGGCCCATCCATGCACCTTGACCCTTGATATCACCTCTGACCCTCAAGTTTTCCCAGAAGTCTCTGCCATCAGTCCACTGGCAGCCCCAAAGGCCCTACTTTCCCCAGACATCACTGTGCTTCATGAGCCCGAGGGAGCTCCACCCTGCAGAGGACAGACACACAGCAGGTAGAGGTCCCAGGAGGGGACAGAGGCCAACAGGAGGCTTCTGAGGGGTCCTGCCTCCAGGCCAAAACACCAGCATCCAGTGCCATCTTGTACTTTGAGGGACCCAGGCTGGGCATCAAAAACCTCCTTTTGCCTCACTCCCACTCAGAAGTCTTTCCTTAAGTCTACCTTAAAGCTCTCCTGCTGAGTGAAGGCCCTGCTTCTTCTCTGAGCTCTCTATGAGCCTGGCAGGTATCAGGAAGGAAGACGGGGTCTGGGAACTCGCTGGCCTGTGGTCAGGTCAGACCTTGCTCATCTCCTTAAGTAACAGAAGATATACAGTGTGCTTACCCCGAGTTCCACTGTTTACAGTGGTTACCCTGAGACTCATTGTCTCCCCAAGAACAGTGGCTCACACCTGTTCCTTCCCTAGGTCAGTGATTGCTCAAGGATTGAGGGTTAGGGCTCAAGCCCTGGGAGGCCTCTTCCTGCTTCCTGCAGTCTCTGCAGCCAACTCCCTCCAGAAACACCAGGGACCACAGTCCCCTGCTCCTCTTTCCATGTGGCCCAAGGGTGAGCATATGGCACAATGGGCAGAGCCTGGGGCAGGAGAGAGGTGATCTGAGCCCTGACCTTTCTTGCTCTGCTCTGTGACCCACACAAGTCACTCAACCTCTCTGATCTTCAGTTCCCAAGAGGGCTTCCAAGACCTGGGAGATAGAGTTGAGGCAGACGTGCATGAGAGCTCAGGGCACCTGCAAGGAGGGGGTGCTCTGGAAGCATCTTTGCCAGCCCCCTGGGGACCCAAGTCCCACCCACAGAGTCCCCAGATGCACATGCAGATCTTGGGGCGCAGTGCTTCACCGATACCAAGCCTTTCCACACCCCTGACCTTGCAGCAGCCCTGGGAGGTGGGCAGGGCTGGTTTATTAGCCTCATTTTATGGATGGGAAAACCAAGTCTCGGAGAGGGTCAGTGATTTGCTCTAGGCCACACAGCAAGACAGAGGCAGAGCTGGACAAAGAGCTCAGGTATGTGGTGAGGGCCACACTGGGGACTGTCCCCTACCCAAGCCCAAGAAGCTGAAGCAACCAGGACTCAGGCCAAAGCCACGGCAAACCCCTGGCATCACCACCCCTCCCCTGGGACAAGCCTGCCATCGAGGGGTGGCTCGGGCCCCACTGCCACCCTCCTTGTAGGCCCGACCCCTGTCCTCAGGACCCAGCCTTCTTTAAGGCAATTCTTGCTCTTAGAGCCTGGGTCTCAACTCCTATCCCCCACCCAAGACCCAGCATTTCCCCTGCTGCCCCCATTTCTCATTTGTGGAAAACGAGTCACAGACAGAAGCTCGGCTCAGCAGTCTCTGCCTTTGGAGGTTCCTCTGACTAGCCGAGGCCCTGCTTTCCCCTCCAAACTACAGGTGGCAAGGGTGATGAGGGCCAGAAGACCACCCATCCACCCCTGGGTTACCAGCATCCAGCCCAGCCCGCTCCTCACCACAGCCACCAGGGCTGGCCCGGTCCTGCGCTACCTTGTTGACAGCTGGCGGGGGGCACTGCTGTGAGCAGGCCCAGAGTGACCAGGCCGAGGGCTGACATGGCTGCAGGCAGCTCCCGGGCTTTCCCTCCTGCCCCTGGTATCTGGGCTCCTGGAGCTGCTGCGGGTCTGTCGTGTCTGCTGAGATCAGCCTAGGCTCAGTGTGAGCCTGGAGGAGAGGAGCTCGTAAGGAAGAAGGTGAGGGAGGAGGGAGAAGGGAGGTGGAGGGAAACTGCCCTCCCTCCCATGCTAATGAGCTGCTGGCCTGGCCTCCTCTGGCCGGTGCCCAGCCCACTCAAGCCGGCATTCGAGGTCATCTTTCTGAGGCCGGCTAAGGAAATGGGTCTGAGGACCAGGGAGATGTAGAGAGTGTCGGGGCCTCACCTCCAAGCCCCAGGCCTCCCCAGAGTTTTTGCATCAGCTCCCCCTTCCCGGCAGTGGGGCTGGACTGGGAAAGGAGTGACACGTTATTGCTCCTGCTGTGAATGAGCCCAGAGGGCGGGGCCTCTTGGAAGGCTGACAGTGGGATTAAGAAATTTGCTGGCTGGAGAGCTTGGGGAAAACCCAAGAGCTGGGAAAGTTCAAAGCTGTCCCTCTCCTTGAGCCCGGCCTATGTCCTGTTCTCCCCTCACCTGTCCCTACTTGGCCAAGCCACACCCTGGGGCCCCAGTCCTGGGACACAGCCCTGGCTTCTATCCCTCTACCCCCAGCCCAGCTCAGTAGCTCTCTAAATCCACCTTCTCCCATGGGCACCACGACAGAGGGCCTGAAGGTCCCAGTGGCTGACCTTCCCGACCCAGCCCATCTGACCTGGCCCTGTTCAGCTGTTCCTCCTGGCCCCAGATGTGGTCCCTGGAAGCTGGGCGGAGCCTCTCTAGGACAAGATCTGGGCTGGTCAGAGGCATCTACACACACCTTCTGATCCATCTCTACCCATCACAGGGAGAGAAGCGGGTGAACACAGCCGCTAGGGGGGACAAAGGAAGAACACCCCCAGGTGTCAAGGTCCAGTCTGGGGTGCTGAACCCCCAGGATCTGGCCCTCCAGCGAGGCCTGGGGCCAAGGGTCACGCTGGTCCCCCGTGCCCCAGCCACCTGAGGAGTACAGGAAGACGGAGAAGGTGAGAGTCAGGCTCCACACACCCCAAGAAAGAAGGAGCCAGCAGACTGGGGCCAAGTCTCAGAGATGGAGGGTCCCCAGAAGCCAGAGCATGAACTGGAAGCCCCTCCACAGCCTCCCTGCTCAGAAGCCACCAAACTACTGCCCAGGGGACCTCTTGGGCAGCCCTTTTTCTGTGGAGGGTCTGCAGTGGCAGCACTCAGACGTCACGCCTCGTCCCTGCTCCTGTGTGTGTGTGGGTGTGCGTGTGCACATGTGTGTGCAGTGGGCCCCATTGCCATCCAAAGATGGGGGTCTCCAGTGACCTAGGGGAACTTTGCTTCGAGTTGAGTGAAGCCTTCCATACGTATATGTCCTGTTCTTCCTCCTTATCCCAACTGGGTGTCCTCAGAATCTTCTGGCACAAAGTTTGACAAGAGTAGGCACTGTGGATGTTAATGAACAGCCAGGGAGTCACTGACCGGAATGCAAGGAACAGGGTTGAGTTTAACAAACATCTGCTGAGGCCTTCTTGGAGAGTTGGAAGCAGGAGAGTCGCATGGTGAGATGTGTGTTTGAGAAGACACCTCTGGACACAGAGTGGAGAAGGAAAGCGGAGTGCGAGGCTGGAGGGAGGCGGCTGCAGCAGCCACACAACCAGGGACACGGCCTGCTCCAGGGGAGTGGCAGTGGCAAGGGATGTGAGCCCTATGTAGGAGGCTAACTAGACAGGACGTGGTTGCTAGAACACAGTGACTAGCAGGGAGTGGGCGGTGAGGGATAGGGAGGAGCTAAGCCCTAGCTTTCTGGCTTGGGCGGCTGGTGCATGGTGGCTCCTCGGAAGGGGCCGGAGCAAGTTTGGGGAGGTGGGGAGGAAGGATGAGCTACAGGCTCAGATGTATTGTGCTTGCGGTGCCTGTGGATCCTCCAGAGGCGTTGGGATCCCTGGGTCCGGAGTAGAGAGCTGGATCTGGGAGCCGTCTGTGGCACAGCGTTGGTAACTGAGTGGAGGGAGCGCATGGTCTCCCCAGGGTGTGCATGTGAGTGCAGTGCACATGTGTGTATGTGTGTGGTGTAGGGGGTGGGGGTGTAACAAGAACAGGGAAAAGAAGGAGGCAGTGAGGGACCAGGACACAGCCCCAACACATAAGAGTCTTTCAAAGGAAGAGGAGTCAGGATGGAGCAGGAGGAAGAAACCCCAGAAGAGTGGGGTGTCCCAGAAACCCAGGAAGGAGAGGGCCAGGAAGACATGGGCAGGACGTCCCTGCCGTGACCCCCTCCAGCTGGTGGCCCCCGAGAGCAGCCCAGCCTCTCCCATGGGTCCCTGAGTCGCAGGTCCTGCCTCCCTCGCCCAAGCGTCCCCCCTTCCCTAAAGAACCAGGGGAAGGACAAGGACTCCCTGGGCCATGCTTTGGGGGCGGTGGGGGAGGGGAATGAGCAGGAAGGACATCAGGTGACCAACAGGAGGAAAACACACCTCTCAGGTCAAAGTCCCCAGCTTTGGAGCAAAACAAGTTGTTCCGGAAAAGGGGAGCGTGGGTGGATGGATGCTTGGCTTTGAGGCTGGTCCCTGCTCCCTGGGTGTCCTCATCCGCTGAGGGGGGTCATCTCCTCACTGTATGGACACAGCCCTGCGTCCCCATGGCAACAAGCTGGGCCACCTTGCTGGTCTGGCTTGGACCCAAGATCTGGACTCAGGCCTCAGCAGCCCCACGGGGCTGGACCCTGTGTCCTCATCTCTGAGCCGCTATTCCATCAGTGCTCAGTTCCTCCTTCCTGTTTACAGCCCAGCTCTGCTACCCCAAATCTTCTTGTTCCCTGAAACAGGCCCTCCATCTAGCTGGACCTTGTGTGATTCCCCTTCAGAAAAGCTTAAGCGAACCTAGGAGGTGCCTTTCTCCACCACCACATCCTGCCTGCCATTCCAGTTGTTGCCAGCAGGTGGCAGAGTCCAGCTCCAATCCCAGACTGGTTGGGGAGGGCAGGGAGGGGGCCGGTTTGCAGCTAAAGATTCTGCAACTTCCCCTCCCTCCAGCCCCCCACTTCCGCCCCTTTCCAGGGGTGGTTTGGAGGAAGGGAGGGTGGTCACTGACATGTGAACAGTCAGTGATGCTGTGAACAGCGCCCATGGCATGCTCAGGGCTGTGCTGCAGAGAAGCAGCAGACGACTGAATTGTTAAGGAAGGCGTCCTGGAGGGATGCTAGGACAAAAGTTACTGAATTGTTGGACCTAGTAGAAACACAGCTCGGGGAAGGCCTCCAGGAGAGCTCAGCCTGAGGAAAAGCAGAGCAACACATTCAAGAAGAGTGTTTAGAGCACAGAAATAAATGTTTTTTCCACTCATTCTTATCATATTTCATCTCTTGAATGTCTTTGCTGCAAGCCTGAGAGCTCCTGGAGACTTTGTTTTATTCATTCAAACAGATCCTGTATAAACCCCTTAAGGGCTTCCAGCAGCTCTTAAGATACTATGCAAACTTCTCAGCATGGGCTTGAAGACCTCACAACTTCCTTACCCTCCTCTCCAGCCCCAACTGGCCCCATGGCCGCCTGCCACTTGCTAACAGTAGCCAAGCCCTTTCCCACAGCAGAGCCTCCTCCACACTTGCTCCTCCCTCCTGTTTGTCTGGTGGACTCTAACTGATGCTGCAAGTCTTGCCTTAAATGTCAGTTTCTCCAAGGGGCCTCCTCTGATCTCCCTTCTCCCCCACCTGAAGTCACTCCTTCTGTGACTCCCCGCTGCTCGTCTCTTCACAACCATTATCAAAAATTGCAATTACATATTGATTTGTGTATATTTACACATTTAATGTCTGTCTCCCCAGAGGAAAGGCATCGTCTGTGTCACGCCAGCACGCTAGTCCTGAGCACAGTGCCTGAGCACACACCCAACACACACTTTTTTCCTAGCATCTTCCTCCAGGACGCCTGCCTTAACAATTCAGTCGTCTCCTGCTTCCCTGCAGCACAGCCCTGAGCGTGCCGTGGATGCTGTTCACAGCATCACTGACTGTTCACATGTCACTCTCAGTATATCCGGTGCCTGCCTCCGGCCTGGCAGAGACCAGAAGCTCAGAGAATGATTGTTGAATGAATAAAGCATTTCAGCTCTAGTTGGGTCTTTTCTCTCTCTGACCTCTAGGGCAGAGGCTGGTACTGATTCATCTCTGTGTGTCGTCATTGTTCGGAGGAGTTGGAGCTGTCCAGCCCTGGAATGAGAGTGAGCTCCCCATACCTAGAAATGTGCAAGCAAAGGCCAAGCGCCAGGTCATCCAACAGGGGCGTCTGCAGGAGGGGTTCTGGCCCTTCCAGCTCTGGAAGCCTGTGATTCTGCGACACCATTAACAGGCTATGATAGATTTTCATATTTTAATCAGGTTCTGAGGGAGGGGGCTGGTTAGGACTGTGTGAGTCTCTCTTCTCTCAGACTCAGCATTTCATCACCTGGTCCCCTCCACTGAGCACTCCCTTCACAAGGGCCCAGGGCAGAACTCAGGGGTTCATGAACTTGCACAGGGAAAACATTACATCAGTATTTCACTAACCTCTAACTGAAATTTACCATTTTCTTCCATTAGGAATGAAAGCAACAAACCACAGTGTCTCTGTGATATTTCCTATCATCACACAACTGTCACAGACATTTGGATATATCATTTATGATATATGGGACTGTAACAGTCATTAGACCGTCCGCTAGTCCTTGTTATTTATTATATTATAAAGATACACATACTTACTATATTACAAACTGGTATTTTTAATATTTTGATAACTATATTTCAATATAATTGGTCTCCTTTGCAATGCTACACATTATATTTGATGCATTTAAAAACATTTCTCCAAGAAGGGGTCCATAGGCTTCCCCAGACTGCCCAAGGCACAACAAGAATTAAGTCCTGACTCACGGGGAGCCTGGGGCAGGTCAGCCCAAGCAATGCCTCATGATCTCAAGGTCATACCTGGAGAAAGACTGGCACACTCTGCACGGAGGCTTTCTGGAGCTCAGAGCTGGGGGCCATGGTCAGATTGCATGGGTGCTTGCCCCCACAGAGGGCCCCAGCGCCTGGGAGCTGGAAGGGGCAGAAAGCACTCTGGAGCCAGCCAAGCCAAGGAATGTCCTGGCGGTGACTCCTGGGTCCTAGGCGACCCCACTGGGCCGGTGAGATTTATGGCAGGACTGGCCAGTGGGGGAAGATCGATCACCTCCTCCTGCTGCCCACTCACTCATCCATCCAAGAAACTAAAGGGCCGGCCCTGTGCCGAGAGCCCCGCCTGCCAGCAGAGGTCCCAAAGCCAGAACTGTGCCCAGTGGTGCCTGCACAGCCCCGCCCCCTGCCAGGGCTGCAGGCTGGCAG